ACTGGATTATACTCCTTGAATAACATCTTCAAACCTTAATGTTTTTGATTACTGCTTATACTCTTACTACCTCTACCACTATGGGATTTGAATCGACAACTGTATCTCTGTGGTAGTGTAGTGTGGCAACTCGAACTGATGTACGTACGTACGAAGTTCTACGTTGTTACTGACTGACTGTACAATAAACTCAACTTAAAACAGATATAAATGATACTATTTTTAATTTAATATATTTAAATGTTTTACAGATAATACAACCTATATATTTCTAATGTTAACTTTGAATTACAAATCAATGTATGCAAATGAGTTGAATGTACATTTGTTTTTTAATGATAAATATCATTGAATTTTTTTTCGTTGTTGTTGTTGTTGTTGATGAAAAAACACATAGCAACTGAAAGGTAGTACTGGTTGCCTTTAATTTAAAATATAATTGATGAATCAACTCAAATATTCAGTTTTTGTGTTGTAGTAGTAGTAGTCGTATTAGTAGTAGTAGTAGTACTTGTAGCCAATTGAATAAAATAAAAATAAACTACTTTATATGTATTCGTTTAAACAAAATGGATCACACATAAATACATATCTACATGCATACATACTGGGATTTACTATTTTTGAGTATAATTACATTTAAAATATGTTTCTTTTTTCTTTGTTAGTTCATTTTGACAGATTTAATATCAATCATATAAAAACAACCTACAACAAAATAGATAATGTGAGCATTGATAAATGAGCTGTTCGGTATTTTTTTGTAAACAACAAATTCTCATTATTTAATCGAATAATGTTAGAAACTAAGTGAATCTTTTAAAATAGTTTATATTGTTGACTGATTAAGTAAACAACTAATGGTGAATAAACATTAGAAGGGGTTTTTGTGGAGATTTTAATTATTTCAATGGTTGAAGTCATGAGTCAATTGAAGCTAGACAACCATGAAAAACCTGAAAGCACTGCACGGCCGTCTCGTTCTATTGTGAGACTCCTCACCAGTGCACATCCACGATCACGCCTCGCGAAATACGAACCCAAAACCTATCAATCTCACACACGAGCGCCTAAACACTAGACCACTGATCCAGCATCCAACAGTATTGGTGTCTAACAATAATCAATCCACGGTAATGGGTGACCATTTTCCATTATCTCCAGTGGGTAGCTGCCTCACAAGTTAGACATTAACATCATTGTACCCCGACTCAGTGGTTTACAGATTAAACATTTGTGTGACGCCGAGGCTCCTGGGTTCGATTCTTGCATGCGTAGTTGTGACTGAGTACTGTTCAGTGGTCTAAAAAGTAAAACGAAAGGGCCCTCCAGTGCTTCCACATTCACAATGTTTGTTTGACACTAATCAATTCATGATTTCAAAGAAACTCAACAATCTCCACTACCCCATACTACTAAACAAATATTTGTTAACATATTTTGATATTATTGATTATTATCTCTTAAAATATAACTACTTCATATTCTTTATCTACATTTAGTATACAGTATTAGCTAAAATCTTGAATTCCACAAAGAGATAAATAAGGCATTACAAGGAATGACGATAAGTCCCACTACTTTCAGTATTGTATGACTTTTTAAAATATTATTAAATGGATTTTTCGGTATTTTTTATAAAGCTGATGTGTTGGTTATTGAGAGTCATAAAATGACTGATTACGGTTATCGAATTTTAAATAAATTAAAACGAATATTCGGTTTAGATAAATTTAACTTCCTTTGAAGTCTACATGAGAGAATAAGGCGATAGTGCAAACTATGAACAAACCAATCAGATTTAGGATAACAGGTCTTGGATTTTGGCGCGAAATTCATTCATCCATTTGTCTAAATAGCGTCTTGACATTTTAGATGATGTCGCTTCGTAATGAAAACCCTAGTTCTGATTCCTAACCCTAACCGTCAACAGTGGTTTATAACTCCCATTTAGTCCTAGTTAGTAGGTGGATATTCTCAAGATGACTTTAACATCACTCAAAGGTCGTTCATAAATTATAGTCTCACCGTGAATTATTTAGTGAACCACGGGTATGGTTATTACTATAAACTGTTATTAGTTTACTCCACATACTAATCTCACATAATCACAACAACTATATTAAATATTGTGTTCAATTATGTAAAATAAATTATTGATCTAGTGAAGTTTTATTTCATACAACTACATATACTGTCGTTTAAAAATTCTGAATATTATGATAATAACTAAGTGTTTTAGTTTAACACACATTGTAATAGTGAAAATCATGTAAACCTATGAATTAGGAATTGATATGAGACAACAACAAAGAGAAAATTATCATAACCGGTAGAACTAGATAGACAAATAAAGAAATATTTCAGAAGGGGTTTTTTGTGGATATTATAATAATTTCAATGGTTGAGATCATGTGTCAATTGAAGTTAGTTCACCACGGAAAACCTGGAAGCAATGAATGGCCGTTTCGTCCTATTGTGGGACTCCTCAACAATCCACATGTATGATCCCACCTCGCGAGATTCGAACTCAGGACGTATCAGTCTTGCGCGCGAACGCTTAACCACTAGATCATTGAGCCGGCATCCAACGGTGTTAATGCCTAACTTCAACTAATCCATGAAATTGAGCGACGCATCCACCATTATTATCAGTGAATTATTATCTCACAACAGGGTGACTGAACTCCACCAATCAATGCTTCTGACTGGAACTCCAGAATATACCTCTTGAAGCCAGTCACTATTGAGCATATATTGATAAATAGATATTTGTCAAAAATGTTTCATGAAAAAGGTTAACCTGTTCATTGTTAAAAAGTAAAAAATAAATAATACAATCAACTGTTGCACACATTTTCATGTGTTCACCAGTGACCAATTTATTTTCTGTCTGGTACTTGGTGCTATCACTACTACTACTACTACTACTACTACTACTACTACTACTACTACTACTACTACTACTACTACTACTACTACTACTACTGAGTAGTTGGTTAGATTTAAAATAGATATGGTAATTTTGGGAAATTCAAATGTTAAGAATTTCATCTTTCAAGAATGAAGGTACTACTTCATTCTACTTAGTAAACGATAGGTTTTACGCATTGAATCAACCAGTCTGTTCCTCGATTATGATAATAATAATAATAATATAGATAATTCAAATATTTACGAATTCACGCTTCAGAATGTCTCATAGTTCACTTTGAATTCTTATCATAAATATGTTTCATATTAAAATAGTGTGTAGTAGTTGGTTATCCAGATATTCCCATTTAGATTCCAGAATAATGAATAATTATGAATTCATAGTATACACATTAAATACTCGATAAATGTCATTGTAATTTTATTAGTAGTAAATTAATGAGTAGTAGCTTACATATAAGTTAATAATGAACTAATTAAGATGAAAATCTAAATCGGATGATGTTCACTTATAGTTATTTTTATAAACTATGAAGTAATAAGGTTAATAAATGTTTTAATATTTATTATAGAATGTTAAGATCTATTATGAAATCCATGAATATTTATTCTACAATCATTGCCAATAAACAAACAATTATTGATTCTTTGTATTGGTTGTTTGAATCTTTTCATTAATGTTTAAGACTGAGATTGATCAGTCTCTTATTGACATATGTGTATCTTGAAGGGATTTCCTCGATATTAAGTTAAGTCACAAGCATTCTAAGTACAAATGGATGGTAGCTAGGAGTGAAATCCAGTAGGCACTTAGAGTCTTGAAGTGGACATTAACGTCGGGATGCAGGCATATTTAGCTGACGAGTCACAAATAGGATGAAATGCGCATCTCGGATTCCACGACTAGCTACCATCCATCTCTTCTTATAAACAATTATTCTCTATAAAAAACATAATATAGAAATGAAAGGAGATTCTTGAATGAAATTTCACAAACAAATTAAATGTCTAAGTCAGTATGAATAAACAATTCAAAATATAAGTCTAAGTAAGTGTACTTGTTACACAAAACGAACATATCATCCATATATTTGTAATATAAAAATTGTCTCATGATTTTATCATGCAATCACTCGTATTCTATCTACACTATAAACATTTAAGTCAAGAATAGTTCTCATAAAGCACTCATTACTATTCCTATCAAATGCTGTAAAACTATAAAAACAAGAACTTTGTGGATAAAATCGCTTTTTATAGAACACATGTAAATACTTCTAACCATGATCGATTATTAGTCAAAATAATTGAACGAGCACTGAATATCCTCAGCATACAAACTGACAATTTATTTACCCAGGTACAAAAAAGTATTAAACAGAAACATGAAGAAGCATAAGAAATTCAGTCAGTCGGTCAGTCAGTAACAACTTAGAACATCGTATGTATGTACATCAATTCGAGTTGCCATACCACATTAGCACACAGATACAATTGTTGATTCACATCCCGTAGTGGTAGAGGTAGTAAAATTATAAGCTGAATTCAGAAAAATTAGGTTTTGAAGATGTTATTCAAGGAATATAATCCAGTGAAATAAATTTGGAAAGAGGAAAAAAGAAGGGGCCATGAAGAATTCAGAAGATTAGAATTAGGGAGAACACCAATGGTGGATGCACCTGCACCATTGCAAACGATTTTAAGCCATGTCACTCAAAGTCTCTAACCATCGGTTGCTATCATCTCGTGGTCCCCAACCAGATAATCTACACAAGCCAACATGACTCAGTTCACTTGTCAGTGACTGCATGAAATTGTGTCATGTTTTGGTCTGGCCATCGCTAGCTTTCTTCCAACCTACTCCTATACCACTGAACATAGCACGTCGAGGCAGTCGATGGTTGGGCTTACGTAACACATATCCCAGTCATCTCAACTGATGAAGTTTCTTTAATTCATCATCAGTGAATAAACTATGCTAAACAAAATCATAAAAATGAACAATTATTATATAATCAACTATAATATACACATATATTTTTTATCAATTCAACAAAAGTACTCACTTTTTAACTGGTTTTCTTATTTCTAGTTCCATGATTATTGTATGGATATATATATAGATGTGAGTAGATTTTTTTTCAAAAAATGATTTTACTACTGAGAATACAAATATTGTTTACTGATGAATACTATTAAACAATTAATTATATTGTTATTCTTTACAATGCCAAACCAAGAAAGAATATACATAGTATTTATACTCATTTATTGAATCAGTAATTAGTTATTTATATACCTAAATAAATGAAAGAAAAAACAAAATAATAAACTTATTTGAGTTATACAAGAAATAGAACTCGTCAAATAAATATATATGTAAAACAATACATGTTCATAGATAGATTATACTTAAACAAAATAATGTATACACCTAGGTTAGGATTAAACTAATCATTCCTTACTGAAGATTTTGTATACACCAAAAACAATGGGATTATCTCATGTTTACGGTATTACATGAGTATTATGTAATTAGATATGAACAGTAATAATAATAATAATATTAATAGTCACTAAAAGTTACATTGTTATCTCGTCTGTACACATATATAAACACAAATCACGAGTGAAATACTCTGAGATAATATGAGATGTTTTAAAGGTTAATAAATATAGTTTCTGACTGGATTATTTCAATTAAATAAACCATCGAATGTGTGTTTCCAAGGGATTAATTAAAGTATAAAAAGAATTGAAATGATTTGGGCGTCAACATACAGAATATAATGAAAAAAAGCTTATTGTATCTTCTAAAAAGAAGAGTGAAACGATAGTTTAATAATGAAAACTTTCGGTTTGAAATTATCATTTATTAAACCTGTGTAATTGTATTTTGTAGTGAGAGAGTTTATAGGAGAATAGAAAGAGATCATATCATAAGTGTTCGGAAATTTGTAGTAACACAAAAATGTAACGTAATAATCTAAAGAGAGTTAGAGAAAATAATTTTCTAAACAAAAATATAAATATAATTGTCCATTTGACAGATATAACGAAGAAAAATAAAAATGACGATAACAACTAAATATTATGTCAATAGTTGAGATCATGAGTAAATTGAATCTAGATCACCATTGAAAACCTGGAAACAGTGGATGGCCGTTTAGTCCTATTGTGGGACTTTTCCCCAGTGTGCATCCACTATCTCGTTATGGGAGATTCGAGTCCAGGACCTATCAGTCCTATTCGTGAGCGCTTAACCACTGACCCGGCATCCAATGGTGTTAATGTTTAACTTAGACTAATCTAGTGGTTAAGCGCTCACGCGCGAATGATGGGTCATGAGCTCGAGTCTCGCGAGGCGTGGTCTGGATGCGTAATGCTGAGGAGTCCCGCAATAGGACAAAACGGCCATCCAACGTTTCCAAGTTTTCAGTGGTGATCTAGCTTAAATTGACTTATGATTTCAATCAGTGAATTTTCTAAAATCTCCACAAAAACCCTTTTGAAACTAAGTACTAATTATGAAAATTATCAGTGTAATAATCAGAGATTAAAATGTAAGATATATATATATATATATAGTAATCATCTCTATTCATATAGCTGATCCACTACCTGCGCCCAGATTTATCTCAAACAAATTTTCACAAACAAAACTACTACCACAAAGTACTTTCATCAAGAGAACCTGTGCAATATTTGAAATCTCTAATTTTTTTCTTTACACTTTTCAATATCAAATCGTCTTTTAAATTCATGTTTGTGTCCTGTTAACTGTTTCCGATTCACTTTTTTTTACTAAATGTAAGTGTATTCTCCTACCAAGTCAGTATCCAATGCATTTATGCACATTTTCTTATTTTAATATATCTAATACAAACACTGTCCCAACAGTTAGAAGCCTATCAAGTAGATAGAAACTTATCAACATCTAGGCATTACAGTATACGAACGAAAAATAAAACAGACTAACTCGATCAGAGATTATACTACACCAAAAGTTCATTTGCAATATATTCTAAAATGCTAATTTAAATCAATCACATCAATTACATTACTTTATTGTTCAACCCAACATAATCTAGTCGATTAGATCAAGAACAAAACAACTCTATGTAATAAAATTGGAAGAAAACAAATTAGATGTAAATACAATTGAAGAAATTAAAAAAAATTTATAGCTCTATCATAAGATATTCAGATTAAGGTATTCTGATTTCATTTTGGTATGAGTATACTTGAAGAAAGCAGAAAAACAAAACAGTTTCTTCACATGGAAAAAAATTAAAATTGGGAAACAAGAAATGACAACGTCTAGAATACTTCATCAAGTTATAACATGTGAAATCATGTATGTATTGGTTATTATTAGTATGTGTTTGTGAAGATTTTAGAATTCTTTCAACACCATTAACCGATCTAGGTTAGACAACCACCGGAAAATTGGAAGAACTGGACAGCTATCCCGTCCTCATTTGAGACTCCTCAACAATGCTCATTTATGATCCTACAACCACAGACCGAACGCAGGATTTTCGGTCTTGCGAGCGAGCACTTAACTTCTGGACTATCGAGTCGACACCCAATGAGGTACATGTCTAAGTAAAACCATTGTGTTATTTTGCTCGATAATTTTTAACTATCCCCGGTGGGTAACTTCCTCATGATCAACACGATTAAACTGCACTGATCATGGCTTTTCACTAAAACTGAAGAAATCTTCGATCGTAGCTAGACACGAGTGAGCACATAACAACCGTCGGTTTGGTGTTCCGAAGATTTTTTAATTTTGTTGAGATCAAAAACCGATTATTGATTGACTGGTTTGATCTCAGTTTATTTTCTCAGAATTTAAATGTAGAAAATATAAAAAAATTAAAATACGGAAAACATCGCAAACTTGTTTAGTCTTTCGTGACGATGGTCGGATATATATCACGCCTATTTTTTTTAAAATTCACAACTTCTTAGCAACTATATATATATATATATATATATATATATATATATATATATATATATATATATGCTGTATGTATGTATTCCGCGACATACATTTTCAGTGTAGCTCGTTAACAGATATGTCAGACAACAAAGGACCTGCCTTGACTAACAAACCTAATCATCGAAACCCAGTAATTTGGAATGAAATTAAAGAAGCAGTGAGTCTTCTACAAAAGCCTGTTTTTTATCCTTCTTTATTAATAATAGTTAACTCTTATGTAATGCGTAAGAAGTCAGTGTAAAATGATTAAAAATGTAAACACTATAGCAAGCTAAATTAAAGTACATATTACATATTTACAAACCACCCTATTCATCTTTTTCAGCTCACAAGATACCTTTGTATGCGTCACATAATTCAATCGGACATTTAGAATGTAAAGTATAAATATATGCGCTTGGTCGTGAAATGAAAAAAAGTATTCAACATTTTTTTAATTAAAAGGCTAAATCAAAAGAAAAAGATACGACACTTTATGTTTACGTAGCTACGGAAAAAATAGACGTGATATATATCCACCCCATGATGATGATGAACGAATGTAACTACACTAATCCAAAATTAGTTTAAATTGTATAACCTAAAGTCTTCAAAAACAGAGATTTAAAGCGTATTTCATTTTAGGCAATCAACTTGCAGCTAATTTTGAACTGAGTCAAAAACTTTGAAGTAATCACTTAATCAATTGTATTCTGACTCTGGTTTATTTTATGATTCCGACGTATAGCTTGGCCGATAAAACAAACAAAATACGAGCTAGTCACTTTATGTATTCCGTATGAATTTATTGATTGTATTGTTTTTCATCCGGCATATTGAGCTACATTACATCAACACGTTCATTAGATACGGTTGACAGTAACTTCAGACTTTTGAAATGAAGTCGTTATTGAAAACAACGCTTCAATAAGCAGCACTTATATGTTAAATGAACTACGAAATGACCGAAAATGCCATATATATTGAACAATGAGAACATTTCTAATAAATTAGCTCATATGTATTCAAAATATTTGTTTGTAGATATCAGGAAATAGTCTTATGGAGAACTGTTTAAACCGTAGGTTGTATTCCACCCAAGTTAACTTCATTTAAAATATCACTGAAAACCAGGACTAATTGGACACCTGTTTAGTCTTAATAAGGAACTCCTTAATAGTGCTCTTCCAAAACCCTGCCAGAGATCGCATCCAAATCCTTCATGTCTTGCGGTTTACGACTGATCATTAAAAACACTGCATGACGTTTGTAGCTGAAGTGTCCCTCACTAAGACGAAACAACTGTCTAATGCTCCCTAATTTTAACTTGTACCCCAACTGAAATGAATACAACACATAAACATTTATCAGAATGTGTTTTGTGGAGATTTTTAGAAATTTTCACAGATAAACATTTGTTTAGTCCTATCAACCATAACCATCATCAGCAACCGATCAATATGTGATCGCAATTCTTGAAAATTAATATCGATCACATACTAGTTGATTTTAAGAATGATCTTGTTTAATATACATGAGTAGTATACTGACTAATTCAAGTGTTACCATCTCTTCATATACATATACATTGACATCAACTTTAAATAACTAATGTCATCTGACACGTTTATTAGCTGTGTATGCATCCGGATCAATGAATATTAGGCGTGTATATACTACTAATACTACCATTATTAATATTTAATATTAGTAAAATGGCACGATCTGCCTCAACTTGTCTCACAATGTACTGTGTTAATATATATATGCGGGATGTATGTAAGTATATACTTATATGTATGTGCTTTTGTTTGTGCATAGAATATATAGAATTAAATTAACGCAAGTGTCAATAGTGTTAGAAGTACCAGGATGTTGTGGTATAGTGTATGTAAGTAGTATGAACATTGTTCTCACACTGTAAATGCATAATAATATATAAATAACTTCATAATGATTAATGTCGTATATGTACCACAGTAATTTTCTTCTAAAATTATTTTTGTTAACTTAAATAAAAAAGAACTTTCTGAGGTGTTAAAATCTAAGGTTCGTCAAATAATACTGTTTTCAGCTTAGGATGATGTAGACCAGTAAGCAGTACGGTT